ATGACATAGAAAGTCATATTTCTGGGATGCTGCAAATACTGCTCTCTTTGCGTTAAGATGAGACAGAGACTTCCATGACAGCGTATGATGGATCATGTGCTGGGTCATATGCCGGATGACCCTTCGTTAGCTGTTTAACCAGTTTGCTACCTAAGGTTGACTTTATAATTCAGATCTTCCTTGAGGTATCTCCTAAAGGAGATAACTTATGAGCATCTGCCAACTGTTCTTAGGTCTTCAGTGTCTTGAGGTATGGCCTCCAAAACAGCATTCTAGAAACTGCTGTAATGGTAGAGACAATTGGTTTATTGGAAGTGCGTACTCAGTTTCAGGCCTTAGCTAATTTATGATAAAAAGGAAAGCAAAATACCTTTTCCAACTTGTATAACACTGTTCTGCAAATAAGTGTTAAAAGGGGTACGTGTTAATGATAAATGTGAAGGTACAGTGTTATTCGTAGCGAGGTGAATGCTTGGAGCTATATTTTTCCTGGTTCTCCATTTCCCATGGCAGTCATGGCTGTCAGTCTCTTTGCTCTTTCCTTCTCACTTCCATGAGATTTTTATTATCATTATCTGAACTGTAGGGATTAAACATGCCCGGAGGTATGCTAAAACTAAGATTAGGTTTTACCTCTCTATTAACTGCTGAAGTTGCATTAGCCACATAGTGCTGTAACTGAGGCTGAGAGTTTGAGCCATGCTCTAAAAAAGAGGCAATTCTGGGAGGGGGTGATGGCACTATTTGTTCCTCTAACTTGTTTCCCAGAATGTACTATAGGCAGTGGGAGTGTGCTACAACATCAGATCACAAGTCGAGCAGTTGAGATAGCTAGATCACAATGGTTCCTGATGCTACAAAACATCTGGGATTCCATTTGTCATTCCCATAGGGAAGAAACAACCTAGCCACTTTAATTTAAAAAGGCATTGATTAGTTGCATTCTGAGTAGAAAGGATACGGAACTGTCTTTTTGTGTGCTAGATATCTTTTATGTTACACATTTATCAATAATACATAAATGAATTAGTATCTCCTAATAACTGGTTTCTTGTTTCAGCTTAGGGGAAAATACATCATGATGAAAACCAAAAAGAGAGTAGTCCATTTTTCTCCTGCTTCTGGGTGTTGAAGACAGAACAAGGAGTAAGTGGACAATGGAGACCAATCTCTCGTTCCCTGGAGGCAGGTCTCTAAGGCACTCTCTGTGAAGAGAAGACCCCTTCAAGGGAGAAAGACTGGTCTTCAGAGAAGATTTCCAGATCTCTCTCTAGACAGCTGATCTGATTGGTTGAATTCCCTGTTATGTCAATAAAACGTTTTCACACATGATGTAAAGTAGAAAAGTAGCACAGTGAATGCTTTTGTTAGAACAGCTGCTAAAGGTGCATTACAGATTCAAAGAACGCAGGAGGAAATACGTTTGCATGTGACAGGGAGGGGAGGAAGCTGCTGTGTGAATGCCAGAATAAAGCCTAGCTTAAGCAATAAAGGGATGCCACAGCTCAAAGTTGAGGTGAGCGTTCCTGTTCCCTCTATAAATTGCTAAGAATCTGTTCCACACAGCGTCTTTCTGAAGCAGGTGCAGCAGTGGCTGCTTGGCTGGCATGGCACACACACAGTTCATTTGATTTTTATTATAGAGCTTTTACTTTGATGCCACCCTTTTATCTCTCCCAGTCTGGTTTTTTTTTTTTTTTGCAGTTAAGTTTATGATTTTTTTTCTTAATTTCATAAATCTATTAAATAATTCCTGAAAGATTGTACTTACATTGAACATGGTAGATTTGAGTGAAAACTGCATTTCAACTGGTCATCTTGAAGACATTTAAACATCTGCTCTCCCCCTTATGTATACTATACTTAACTTTGCAGTAGATGCTGTCATGCATTAGGAAGTATTCCATGCACACCCAGCATTGTCTGAGACTATGTCTTTTAGATTGAAATGGGTGGAGTCGGTTTTCGGGGAAAGATTGTGGAAGTTGTATGCAATTTGAGAGATTAATGCTCTTGTGCAGCTGACTGCAAGGCAAGCTTTCCTCCTACAGACCGTTTTCTTGAGATTGTGGGAGGGATTGTTAAGATGTTTGGGTTAATAGGGTAAATTGCAGGTTTTGTGTTCCATGAGACTTCTTAGACAATCAAAATAGAGATTATAAGGAGAGGCTGAAACTGATAAGTAGATTGTGTTTTTAGGAGCAGAATGTTAGTGTGAAAAGGATATTTCTCCAGGTGGAAAAAAAATGTGCTATTGGGTTGGAGGTCGAGGAACCGATAGAATTACTAGTTTCTCTGCCACTGGACTGTAGCCTTTGTATATACATTTATAAAACTCTTAAGATTTAGAGGAAATGAGACATAGTATTAGGAGGGAAATGAATACCCATACCCAAGGCATTTTTATATGCCTGCTGGTTTAATGCGGTTTAATTGAGATACCTGGATGGCTCTTCGTGATGATGCTGTAGCTCCTTTCAGAAATAGAAGAAAGATGGAGGAAAGGAAAGGATACACCTCTCTTTCTTTCTTTTTCAACCGTTTGCTGGTTTTTAAAGTGCTGAAGTGGCAATCAGGGAGAGATGATGGCATTGTCTCTGCAGATTTAAGGGGGTGGAGGTGGGGCCACGTAGAAAAAAGATTTGAGAAAAATGGGAGCAGATCCCTGTTGGCAAAGAAATCGAGGGTTACTAGCAAGCAAAAATGGGGAGAAGGCTGCTGGAAAGAAAATACTTGTTTATTTGCACCAGTGTTAGAACTAGTACTGGCGGGGGGGACCCACCTTAAAAAAATCAAACCAAAACACCCAAACAGGCTGAAAATCTGTGATGGCTTCTGTTTTTTTTTTTTTTTTTTTTAAATTATGACAAAGTCTGTCTAGTATATTTTTTTATGTACTCAATGTTCTGTAACTGTTTTTTAAAATGAGATAGGCTAGCCTGTTAGGTAGAGCTGCTTTTCAAAAGAGAGGCGGTAGGTGGGGCAGTTTGGTTTCCCCAGTTGTTCAAGCAAATAGCAGAAATAAAGGTAAATGGACAAAAAGCCTTCTGAACTGTGCTGTAGCAGTGCCCTTTCTGAAAAATATAGCTTGTCCCAATTCTTAGCTGAGGATGTTGTCCCAGCAAGTCTTCTGTAAACTACCATGTAGAGAAATCCATTGTTGAGAGAGCCAGAAGTGGGGCAGGATCTGACAGTTGTCAGCCATTGCAAGCCCAAGCCTCATCTTGCCCTTTTCACTTTCAGCTGCTTTGAAGAAAAAAGGGGTTCTTTGAGATATCAAAAGATATTCTTTACAACCTCCCATACCCATTTTCCCGCAGGGAGCAAACACTCCTTTTCCTGCTTTACCTTGAGCATCTTGACTCCTCTCAAGGGCTGGTCTTGCATCTGTGATTGCCTTTCCCTAGCTTCTGCTCTCTTTCAGTTGGTTAGTGTGAGGAACTTTAGTTCTTGGCTTTTATTGTTGCCTCCTCATTTACCAAAGGAATTAAGAAAAAGTCACGGTCTTTGCTTGTTGTCATTATGGTTCTCTGTACCAGGAATAAAAGTGGGCACTTAGAATTTTATCTTCTTGTTAACAAAAAGCTGTACTAGTAGGAAAAACTTTTTTTTTTTAATTAAAAAAAAATAAGGTTGTTCTTACAGTTGTAGCAAAACAATCGTTTTGTCCTGAGATCTGCTGCAGAAACTAAAATTCTTTGTAATATTAAATTAAAGCAGTTGTATATCTATGGTCTTTCTGCATGCACATTTTCTGCTGATGCCAGGTCCTGTTTCTATCCCAGAGTTCAATTCTGTTTGAAACCCATGTAAGCTATATTGGTGAAAACAATGATTTCTACCTCTTTATTTTACTATGAAAGTTTA